TTCTTCTCTTTTTTTGTGTTTTTACCACAAAAATTCTGGCGCTTCATTAATATCGCCCTTTTTGGCAATATAAATATGTACATGATAATAACAACATACGCTATGTAGAATATAGCACAAACCCATATAGGGATGCAGCGCCCCCTAAAATACCATCTACAGTGACAGCACTTGTCACGAGAACAACGTATACACATCCCCTCTTGCTTTTTCCTGGTTGTGTCTAAAGCTTTTCTAACAAGCTATCCACATATAATCCCGCTATATCCATAAATTCCGTACACTCCACATGCATGCACGCTGCACACTGGTCTACACTCCACAGTCGTCTACACAGTCGTCGCTCAACGTCAACGCAGCCGTGTGCCGTGCTGTTGCACACCGCCGTGCGTTGTTGTTTCCCCGCATGTGCGTGCGTGTTGTTGTGGCGGTGACATCCGTACTATTCGTATGGTTTACATGAGGACCTGCCGTATATTCGTAGCGGCCGTATGTTCTTGTTATGCGCATTCTTACTATTCGTGTGCTTACCTGCTATTTCTTGAATTTTCTGTTCCACTACCTTTGTAACCTTTTCAATAGTTTTCACCGCCTCCTTCGTTAGTTTCTCCTCGTCTTTCTTTATTTCAGGAATTTGTGTTTCGTCCACTTTTCCAGTGCCATGCTTGTTCATCTTGTGAACTGTGTACTCCTTCCACTTCGTGTTACATTCAGCCCCTTCTTCTATTTTATCCATTCCTGCCAATATTTTCCCTTCGTTCATTAACCAGGTTACTATGTCCAAATCTACTGCTTCTATATGCTTCCTATTGTGTCCATACCCACACATGGTACACAGTCCGTCGACAACAGGACCCTCAATGCCTGGAGCTCCACCTTGTGGCGTCGTCTTCATCTGCGTGAATGTTTGAAAAGCATACTCTGTACCTCTTCGCCAGTGTTCCTGGTCGGGACAATATCTGTGTCTCAGTAGATGTCCAAATACATTTGTTACTTCACATCTCAGCGTATTCTGTTCTTCCGGATCCATTTTCACTGTGTCGTGCCTATCCTGCTTTGTGGCTGTCCACCCATTTGCGATGCCTAATGCTACACTCATGAATCTGCACCGTATTACGTCCGCTACTGTCTGCTGGGTCCTGTACTGGTCATCCACATCATCCCAACCTGTATTCTTACAATTGGCACCCACGGCTTCCATGTCCCACTTGTCCTTGTCCATATAGTCCGCAAATGCCCCTAGCATGCTCTTCATTTTTTCCAGTGCTGCACTCTGTATTATATGTATGAGAATAGAGAAAAGTAGCTATGTCTATACTTTACCTACAGTCTTCCGGTCACATGTATAAACAGCCTCATATATGTATATGCAGCATGAATAAATTGTCGCTTCATCCTGTATCTGTTTTTCTTTGGCTTATCCCTCCCTGCGTTCTGCCCGTACTGTAACTTACACTACGAGGACCCAGGACGTACAGTTCCCTCCTCTTCTCGTCCTCTATGCTCATCCATGGACAATTCCCTTCTGCGGTCTTCTCCGTTACCCCCTTCGTTGCCACCGAGTCTTTCGGCGCTACTGGTTTGGCAGGTGCTGCTCCGCTGCCGGCCGGCGTGGCTGGTGCTGGTGTGGCAGGTACTTTGCCGTCCTTGCCGTCCTTGCCGTCCTTGCCGTCCTTGCCGTCCTTGCCGTCGCTGCGGTCGTCGGCGCATCCGCGTATACCGCATTGTCTCCCCGTGTACTACCGATTCGACGCAGTAGCCGCGTGTAAGAAGGCGCGCGCTTGTCTCTCCGAGCACACGTGGCTCACTATCAGACGGATTCGACGAAGCAACCGAGTGTAAGAACGGAGGGAGACATTGTCTCTCCGAGCAAACGTGGCCGGGTAAACCGATTGTCCGAGGAAGTAGCCGAGTGTAAGAAGGAGGAGAGATTGTCTCTCCGAGCAAACGCGGTTCGACCAAAGCGGCCACGTGCAACACCGATTGGACGAAGTGGCCGAGTGAAGGGGTTCGATTACGGCGTTCGAGTAAACGATTCGACGACGTAGCCGCGCGAGGGACGGCAGCAACGACGGCAGAAGAAATTGATGTTGTTGTTATTACTGCGGTTTTAGGTGTACGCGCACAGAGACAACGTGTGTGCAGGGTATTTGTTGTTAAGTAGCGTATTGTCGTTAACGGGGGTATTTTTTGTTAATGGGTGATGAGATTACGTGTGCTGTTCCTAAGAGTACTATTGTTGAGGGCGTATTTGGGTTCAGGATTTTAGTGGTGGACAACTATTTTGAGTATGTAGGACTAGAAGTTTCTGTGGGCAGCATATTATTCCGCACGATACTGTTCACTTAATGTGGACTTTGAATAAGCATCAAGGACAGTGTCATCCTATATAGAAGGAAAACAGTGAGCACGCAATGTGGGAATATTTAATATTATTATGGGACAGGTATTTTGAGAACGGGGATATAGGGGTAAAGGAGAAGAATATTAAGGACTGGGTGGTAAGTTGTAGTATATGAGGAAAATAAAGAAGGAAATGAGTGGTATTATGCGCGCACGCTACAATGAAATTAGCGAGTATGTTCGGGAGGTGTGTGTATTCATGCTGTGCACTACTATATTTTCTATAAGATGCGGAAGCAAATATATATACACAGGGAAGTGTAATTATGTACAGAATTATGTACAGGCAAACAGTGAAGGCACGAGTATAATTTATATAAAACTATATAATGAATAATAAACTTATAGGACCATTTCTGGAGACAGGTGGGGACAGTGTGGGATCAGTTTAGGCAATACATGAAGGAGATGCAGGATCAAGGCACTATGAAATTAATGTGTGAGCCAGGGCTTGACGAGGAGACCGGTAGAGACTTCAATGAACAGCAGAAAGATATGTGTGAATTAACACTTATAGCATTACATTTTAAACATGGAATTGAATTAGCACGGATCCCGGTAGTAAAGGACGGCATGGATGACGAGGACAAGGAGATAGACAACTATATGAGATGTATTCTAGTAAACATATTCATGAAGAAAATAATAGGCATGAAGTGTCTAGAAGGGCCTGGTGGGCAGTTTGCATTCAGTTTAGCGCATGGCATTCTGCGCAATTTCGAAAAGAAGAAGGTCGGTAATATTTCATGTGAAGAGCAGGATGCAAGGGAGGGGGGTGTTAAAGGCGTAACAGCGGAAGACAGAGGTCTGTGGCAAATAATGGAAAGATGGCTCGAAGACAACAGAACAACACTAACGGACGGGAACGTAGGAGTCTTGGGGACAGATTGTAAGGTGGCACGGACAGGAAGTACGGAGGGCGGGAGGCAGGACATAACCCAGTTGAAAAAAAAAGTGGAAAATGCAATGGACGATTTTGGGAAGGATATGGCCAAGAAGATACAGACAATATTACCGCATGTAAAAACATGTGCAACTAAGCAATGTGTGAAGGGGATAATACACGCAGAGCAGAAAAACGATTCTCTTTCCACAGCTCCCAAAGGTAAAGGAGACGGACAGTCGGGACCAACGCCCGGCAAACCCGCTGCCGCCAAGCCGGCCGCAGCACACACCGCTGCCAAACCAGTAGCGGAGAAACCGGAGAAGGCACCGGGTGCAACGACGACAACGGGACCGGGGGCAACGACGACGACATCTGTTGGTGGTGGTAGTAGTGGTAGTGGTGGTGGTGGTGGCGGTGCTGCCACATCAGTGGCGGCGAAACCAGTGGCGGCGAAGCCGGGATCACAACCGGGACCGGCGAACACGAAGACGGCCGCAGGGGAGAATTGTGATTGGAGTAGTATATTGGACGAGAAGAGGAAGCAAGTGTACGTGCTGCGTAATTATACTGTAAGTTCGCGTAAAAGCAGGAACGAGCAAGAGAAAGTCAGAGAGAGAGAGAACAAACATGGAAAACATACTTATTCATGCAGTATATGTAAGTAGGTGAGTGTACATGTATTCTCAGGGGAAGAGTGTAGTTACAGTACGAACATACATATTTGTTTATGTATATGTGCAACATGCAGCATAAAGAACTCCAAGACTTGAGGACAGTATTGCAGGGATTTGTGCAGTACATGGACAAGAAGGACCAGTACATGGATGCCTTCGGGGCAAATTGTAATAATACAGGTTGGAACGATATACACAAGGAAAACGTCTATTACCAGGAACAAACAGTAGCGGACGTCATGAGGTGTCGACTTATGTCAGGCGCACTGTTCTATGCAAACGGAGGAAACGGGAGTGAGACGAGTGCGCAACAGGGACGTGGTGTTATGGATGAAAAAGAGAAGCAGCTGAGGTGTGAGGCAGCGAATGCATTGGGGTATATACTGGAAAAGAAGTATTGTCACGGGAGCACAGCGTGGAGGAGAGGTATAAAGTATGCCTGGAAAACGGTGAAAGCAATGGCAGGGCCTGGTGGACTGGGAACCACGGGTCCTGTTATACAAGAGCAGTGCACAGAATGTGGTTATAACATTGTGAACCCGGTAGTGAGGGTAATCAATGGAGAAATGGCAGACTGGTTGCTGACGCAAGGAAAGATAATGGACAAAATCGGGACCATGGAAACACAACTGCCGTGTGACCAGGACTGGAAGGTGTATACACAAGACGCGGGGGCCAAGCATGACAAGGGCCAGGTGGTGCAAGGCGCGATATACCCGGAAATAACGAAAGCGGAGGAGGAATTCAGGAAGAAAACGAAGAAAGCAGTGGACGCGGTGAAAAAGCACATGGATAAAGAAATTGCAGAAAAGGAAAAGGAGGAACAAACAGGTAAGACTACCAACAGTACGGCCCTTACGACTATGGCCCAATACGAACATACGGCCGATTACGAATACGTACGACTGCGGCCCGTACGGATGCCAACGGCCGACTACTGACCGTACGAATATGGATGCCGCCACAACAACGCCACGGCGAACAACAACACCGCAACGGCTACAACAACAACACGCACACGCGGCGGGAACGCAACGCACACGCGGGGGAACAACACCCCCTCGTGGAGCCCAGATGTGCGGCGGCGACGGATGCAGCGATAGCGGCAGCGGCGACAACCATGAGTGGCCACGGCAGCGGTCGCTGGACTAGATGACGGCAACAAATACAAGTTGTACTGCTACCATCCACCACGACTCAGTCCGCTTGGACGCAGTCCACCGAGTTCACCTCAACGTACGCTTGCTGTCGCCTGACCCAGTGCACCGAGTGCGCCCCCCTTTCTTCCTGTCTTTGTCCTCTTCTAACAACGTGCGCGCTCTCTAACACCGTCCCGCCCCTACCCTGCCGCCTCACCCAGTAAACCGATTGCACCTCGACCCACTGCATCGATCCATGCAGCCGATCTGCCCGGTCGCTACCGGATCGAACCGTCCCGGCCCCTTCTTTCTGTACCACTTGTGTTCTGTTTTTTGTTTATCATCTACACTTTTTTCCTTTGTTATTGCAGCGACGGAGGCGGCACCGAAGACAGAGGGGTCCGGGGAAGACAAGACAAAGGACAAGGGGAAGGCAACAAAACCTGGGGGATCTCAGACAACAAAACCGTCAAGCACACCATCACCATCAGTTTCAGGTACAGGGAGTACGAGCAACGCGGCAACAACACCAGCACCAACGCAGGCATCCAAGGACAGTCCAGGTAAGCACCAAAGCAACTGTACTCGTACTGTCACGCAGACTTCTTCCACCACCCCTGGAGCAAATGTGTCCGTCACCTTCATCCAGGACACTTCTTCGTCCGAGTGTTCAGGTTAGGGAAGGCAGAGGAGAAGTTTACTCCTGACATGGTAGTAGGCAATACAGGAGAGTGTGCACTATACAATATACGAGTACTTAGGGGGCGTCAAAAACAAAAAACAACACAACAAAAACCCCAAACAACAATTTCCGCCCAGCGCGCGAAACCACACGTCGAATGAGAATGAGCGGCACGCAGAGCGGCAGAGTGATGGGTCGGGCGCGGGGGCGCGTAAGCCGCCGCGGGATGTAGACGTCGACAGACACACACACACTGTGTGTGTTGTGTGTTTGTGGGCGAGAAAGAGAGAGACTGTCTTTTCCCGGGGTGGCACATGCCAACCACCGTTCGCACCGTGGTCAACCGCCGTCTCGTCAACGACGGTGGTCAACCGTGAAACGGCGCGACCAACGATAACCATGCATCCACTTCAAAACTTCAGTTTCATCCTTGTTCTTTTCCCTCAACTTCTTTTAGGAAGTGCAGTAACAGTACCTCAGCCGGCACCCGCACCCGCACCGGCACCAGTACCACCAGCAGGCCCCCCAGCAGCACCACCAACAACATCCACGCCGAGTGCATCCGGAGGGGGACCACCTGCTGCTGCGGCACCTGGTGTCGGGGCTAGGGGGAATGCGGTTCAGACCACTCAGGCGCATAATCCTTCAGTTGACAAGACAGGTGAAAATGGTCCAGTTGGTCCACCAGGTGAAACAGGTGCATCTAGCCCAGTTCATCCCGTTGGTCAACCCGGTGCACCAGGTGAAGACGGTAAACCCGAGGGTGGCGGTGGCGGCAACGATGACCCCCCTCCTCTCAATCCACCCAAACCCAAACCGAACCCAAATCCGGATCAATCGGGTAGTAGTGGCAGTTTCAGTGACGCTGATTTGGCGAATGGAGTTTCTGGTGGGGAAGGCAAAGGCGGAGGTGGGGCTGGTGAAAAGGATGCTGGACCAGGTGCTGGCGTTGGTGGTGCAACGCGTGGTAGTAGTGATGGTGGAGGGCCTTCCCTTACCCCTGACACCCCTTCCGTTGCGCCCGGCCTCACATGGGACGATGTCAAGCCGTACACGCCCGCGATCATTCCCGCGGTGGTTGGTATGGCGGTCATTGCGTTCTTCCTATGGAAGGTAAGTATATATGGCAATGACGGCATGCCGCATGTGCACGATGTTGCTACCTCAGAACATCCCTACGGGCTCCCATAAATGATCGTTCTAACACAAATACACTCCTACACCCGCGTTCATTCCTTTTATCCTACCGTCCTCACCCTCCTCTTTACCCCCCTTTTTCTGCTTAGTATTTTGCGTATCTCGCCCAACGACGACGAACGTTTCGCACCGTTCGTGACGTGCCGTCACCGCCACTCGACGAAGAAATTCTAGACCATTTACAACGCGGCGACCTGCCGCCACCCGATTACGGGTACACCTTGATTAGCGATACGCAAACTGCATCTGCTGCGGAGCGACGCGGCCAACGCCCCCCACGCGTGAATCGCCGCACGATTATCGAGCTACATCTAGAAGTGCTCAACGAATGTGAAGAAGCCGAATGGGAAAATGTCAAAGACGACTATTGGCACATTGTCGTTGAAGAGTTTATGGGGGGCACCCAGGGGCATAGTAGTTTTCCGGCTTCTGGTGCGCACCGGGATTCAGCAACCGAGCATTCGACACCCCACCATGCGACAACCCACCATTCGACACGCCACACCCGCCTAACGCGGGATCCCACCGAAACGGATTCATGTCCACCTAACAAAGAGGACCCCGATCCATGGAGTTGTATGGAAACTATACAATTACAAACGCACCCTTGTCCACCTAACGAAGATGACCCCGATCCATGGCGTTGTATGGAAAACATACGGTTAGAAACGGACGCTTGTGCACCTCACGAAGATGACCACGATCCATGGAGTTGTATGGAAACTATGCAGTTAGAAACGGAACCTGGTCCACCGAATGAACAAGACCCTGATGCATGGTGTTGTATGGAACACATACAGTTACCACCGGACGCTTCTGCATCTAACGAAGATAACCCCGATCCATGGAGTTGTATGGAAAACATACAGTTAGCAACGGACACTTCGCCACCTAACGCACATGACTCCGATCCATGGCGTTGTATGGAAACCATACAGTTAGAAACAGACCCGTTTCCACCTAACGAAGATAACCCATGGAATTGTATGGAAAACACACAGTTCGCCACGCACACTTCTCCACCTACTGCTGATGACCCTGATGCATGGTGTTGCATGGAAACCATACAGTTAGCAACGGACCATTCTGCATCTAACGAAGAGGACCGATGGAGTTGTATGGAAACCATACAGTTAGATGCAGAACAGAGTCGTGCTCATTCCGACCCCGGGGATGCGACGTCGCACTGCACCCACTGGATCCCTTGGATTGACCGCAACAAGCATCTATTGCAGGACTGCATGACGCAGCCGTGGTTTTTGCAGCTAGCGTTGGCATGGAAACAATATCAGCATCAATATGCGGCAGACGAAGATAACGAGTACCGTGAATTCGGTGAAGCGGCAACCCTGCAGATGAAGCAACATGCCTGGAAAAAGTGGGTCGCACAGCAACATCGGCAAATGCGTATGCATAAGGCAGAGTGGTTTCAACATTTGTTGCATAATGTAGAGGAGGAAACAGTATCGCCCAACGGCGCAGTACCTGCCGTCCACAAAGACTTAGAAGTGGACAAAGTAATGGCAGCAGAAGACATGCCACAAGTGAGAGATTTACCCGAGTCCCAACTGCATCAGCCACCGCATATGACAAAACCGTTAACCGCTAAAACATGGATGCTCCTCCTCGCGTGCGTTATAGAACAGTGCGCGGTCGAGAGTAGCATGCACGATAGGGAGTTATATGTGGATGCTTTATTACAGAATATGCGACATTAGGATGACGACGCATATGAATGCACAATAACGCATGCTAATCGTACACCACTTTTATTTCATTACGTGATATACATAATATATTTCTGGTTTGTACTATTCCATACCTGCCTTTTTTTTTTTTGTCCTCTCTTCTGTTTACTTTTTTTCACTTCTGTTGCCTTGTTTTGTTCTTTTTCTGTGTACTCAACTTCTTTTAACATGACCATAGGAACAGGGTGGTACCGGTTAAATGCATATAAAATGTAGATTTAAATGAATAATATGAAGGGGTACAATTCTCCTTTATGTGAAGTTAATTATTAAAACATGAGCACGTGCATTCTACGCGCATAGTGCAGAACACATATAGCACGCGACCACGCATTCGAGTATACGGAGAGATTGTCTCTCCGAGCAACGCAGGCCGCGTAAAGGCGATTGTCTCCGAGTGTAAGAAGCAGGAGGCTTGTCTCTCCGAGCAAACGCGGTTGAGTGTAAGAACGATTCGGCGAAGTAGCCGCGTGTAAGAAGGAGGAGAGATTGTCTCTCCGAGCAAACGCGTCGACCAACGCGGCCGCGTGTAAGAACGATTCGACGAAGTAGCCGAGTAAGCGTTGTGCCGAGGGTACGAACGGAGGAGAGATTGTCTTTCCGAGCAAACGCGTCGACCAACGCGGCCGGGTAAACGGGATTGTCGACGAGGTAGGCGAGTGTAAGAAAGGAGGAGAGATTGTCTCTCCGAGCAAACGTGTCCGGGTAAACCGCATTGTAGCCGAGTGCACGGATTCGACGACGTAGCCGCGTACGCATCCAGAGAGGGAGCAGAGAGCGGAAGGCGGAAGATCGAAGAAAACAAGTAGTTGTTGTGTATATTTATCACGACTTCCAGAAGCAGTTGACGGAGAGGCGTTGACGGGAGAAGCGTTGACGGGAGCGGCGTTGATGGACAGACGAGTTGACGGAGACGGGGTCACGAACAAGGGGCCACAGACAAGCGTGACGCAGACGCGTGACCCGGCGAGGCGTTCAAGGGGACGGCGTGACGGAGACGGGGTGTGACGAGAGAGGCGTTGCCGGCAGAGGCGTTGCCGGCAGAGGCGTTGACGGGAGAGGCGTTGACGGACACCGCGTTCACGGAGAGAAGCGTTGACGGTAGCGGCGTTGACGCAGAGGCGTTGACGCAGAATCGTTGACGGACACGCGTTGACAGAGAACTGTTGACGGACACAGCGTGACGGGAGAGGCGTGTGACGGAGAAGGCGTTGACGGAGAAGCGTTGACGGAGAACGGGGTGACGGGGAAGGCGTTGACGGAGAAGCGTGGACGCAGACGCGTTGGCGTAGAGGCGTAGACGGGAGACGGGGTGACGGAGACGGGGTTGACGCAAGAGGCGTTGGCGGAAGAGGCGTGGACGGAGAAGCGTTGACGGAGAGAGCGTTGACGGAGAGAGCGTTGACGGAGACGGGGTGACCGCGAGACAGGGCGTGTGTATTTTTTCTTTTTTGTTGTTGTGGTTAATGAGCGGTGTGCGGTCGTAGTAGTAGTAGTAGTAGAAGTAGTAGTAGTAGTATAAGTAGTAGTAGTAGTATAAGTAGTAGTAGTAGTAGTAGTAGTAGTCGTACTCTTTTTTTAAGAAGGGGAATAAAGTGTGTTTTTTGTTTTGGGGGGTTTTTTCTGTCTGCGTCTTTTTCACTTTTGTTTTTCTCTGTTCAACTTTTTATTCTTTTTTTCTCGTTTTTGTGTGCTTATTTGCTCAATATACGTATACATAACTTGCAGGTAGAATTTATAGGGTCCAGGCTGATACAGTTGTTGTGCGCGAAGCAGATATCTTTTATTACACGAGGAAAATAATTATAATAAGAAAAGGAGGAGCATACGGAGAATAGGAAAAGCAGGAGCTACAACATCGTGATGCTAATTTTTGGAAAGAACCAGGAGTGAAGCGCAAATGTGAATGCAATCACATCCATATAACTGTCTATAGCAGGAAGAATATGGCAGAGCACACGCATTGGGCTGCTCTAATTCGAGATTGGGCAGACAGGAGAGGAATATGGCAACAGGATCAGTTAGATGTAAGGAAAATTTAAGGGTAAAGGATGGAATAGAGTGCGCATATATTTTATGTGAGTATGAGTATATAGTGCAGACGATTGAACCTCTAACACACTGCAACGTTCATGACGAGCATGTATATGCAAATAGTACATGCGGCCCTTGCCTTTTGTTTTCTACATCTTAGACGAAGTTATGGGATGACATTATAACCGTACTTGAGGCATTTGTAAAGTTCTTAGAAACATTTGAGCAGGATGGTCTTATGGAAACTTGGGCTACATCGTGTAATGATGCGGCCTACACCGACCGCTATATACTGGACCCGAACCACAAAGAGAGAACTATGTGCAGATTAATGCTTGGAGCATTAATGTTCAAGAATGGGTGGCGCGGTGCGCAACAGGACATTGCAGCTTGGGGAGAAGATGCAGCATTAATGCAATTTGTGCAGTGTGCCATAGTCAGTATATATATGTATTACTTGCTAGAAATAAACTGTGGACAAAGGAAAGGTGTGGACCAGGCATTCACAATAATGAGTGGACTTGAGCGGGGCTTCCCCTCTTTGGGTATGCCCGTGAATGCATGTCGCTGGGAAACACATGATGCCACTGGTTTAGGGACCACGAAAATAAAGCCAGGAATTAGATCATGGTTAAGCGAGAATGAGTACATGTCAGGTAAAATTGCAGCAATACGGCACCGCGCACATTGTGCACAAGGCTCACAGGCAAAGGAAAAAGCGCGCAGTCAGGTGTCGCCAGAAACTATAAAGCGAGAAATTCTGGACAAATTGGGGGACCTGAAGAAAGAAGTTCAAACGAAGAAACAAGAGTATGAGCAGGCCGGACGGTCCCCGAGTTCCCTGAAGAATTCTGATGGTGAGGACAACGCCGATACGGATACCACGGCCCGCACGATTACGCTCGGCACCGAGACGGCCACATACGGCCAATACCGACACGGCCGGCCCCGAGTACTGACCGTACGAATGCGCATACGGATGCCGCCACCACAACAGCACGCATAGCCACAACCACGCACAGGGGGCACAACAACGCCATGGCCACAAACACGCACACGCGGCGGAACAGCACCACACTTCGTTGACGTTCAGCGGCGACGGATGCAGCGGCGGCCAACACGGCAGCGGCGCCGGCGAGGCACCGCACGAGGGATGCAGCGGCGACGGACGGACCCGGACGATATGACGGCGACAAATAAAAGTTGTACTGCTACCATCGCAACCTAGTTCACCGCGTGCGCAGTCCACCGAGTCGACCCGACCGTACCACACCACACCGTCCCGACCCCTTCTTTCTGTACCACTTGTGTCCCTTTTTTTTTTAATCATCTACACTTCTTTCCTTTGTTATTGCAGCCGCAAAGGACAAGGGCAAAGCGAGTACAACATCCCAATCTGGGGAAGGAGTGGGAAGAACCGCTCCCCCCAAGACACCGGCACCTCCACCACCTCCTCCACCAGAACCGGCACGTCCGGCAGCACCATCAGAACCAACAGGAGCCAACGGTGCTGCAGCACCCACTGGAGCCGGGGACCAGCCTACGCAGGTACCCACAGAAAGTAACGGTAAGGAAACTACGTGCCCTAAAGACGTTCAGGAAGAAAGATTGGGGGGTGCAACAGTTCGTATTAGCTTTGAGTCGACGTCTGCATGTACAGGTAACGGGAATACTGCTTCTGAGGAGTGAACTTTATAGAGCGGTGCGCACAGTGCCCGCAGATGACAATGTGCATCCGAGCATGCGGATCCATGCCCCAACGAAGAGCACAGGAGTGAACAAAAAACAAAAAACAAAAGAAAACACCAGTTCCGGCGAGACCGGGCGCCACGCCACCGAGAGCGAGAAACCAAACGTCGAATGAGAATGATGGAGGCACAGCGTGCCGGGGCCAGCCAGGCGAGCGAGTAAGCCGCCGCGGTAGGTAGAGCGTCGTAGAGACGTAGACGTCGACACACACACAGTGTGTGCGTGCGTGTTGTGTGCTGTGTTGTGTGGCAGAGAGAGAGTCTTTTCCCGGGTGCAACGTAACCACCTTCCGCACCGTGGCTAACCATCCAGCGGCGGACCACGAGTCACGGACCGTTGGTCAACCGTGAAACGACGCGATCGAGCGCGGTCACCGATCGGCGACGGACCACAAGAACCACGACCAACCATGCAAGACATAAGTTCAGTTTCATCGCATTCTTCCTTTCACCTGCCCTTGATCTTACAGGTGGCAGTGCTACAGAGCACACGACATCTAAGGACGGTCACGGTTCATCCGCGGTTGCAGGAGCAGCACCCGCCGCACCGGAATCCCAGCCACTTACCCCTGTCTCCACTATGGGGCAGGCTCCAGACACGGGTTCGACGCCGGATGTGGCTACTACAATATCATCATCAACACCAGGGGCACCACCAACACAGGCAGATCCCGTAGATGCAGTACCAGGTTCACAAGCACCCGTACATTCTGTGGACCAAAGCACTGCGGACCGCGCTGGTCAGGGCGTCGCCGTCGGTAACGATGACCCCCCTCCTCTCAATCCACCCAAACCGAACCCGAACCCAGATCAATCGGGTAGTAGTGGCAGTTTCAGTGATGCTGATTTGGCGGATGGAGTTTCTGGTGGGGAAGGAAAGGGAGGTGAGAGTGGTGAAAAGGATGCTGACAGCGCCGGTAGCGCAAGTCCAGGAGGAGGAACTAGTACTAGTGGTGGCGGAGGCGGTGGAGCAGGTGGTAGCGGCACTGAAGTTGGCACCCCTTCCGTGCCGCCCGGCCTCACATGGGAAGATGTCACGTGGTACACCCCCGCGATCATTCCCGCGGTTGTTGGTATTGGACTCATTGCCTTTTTCCTTTGGAAGGTAAGTATATACGACAATGCGGGCATGCCGCATGTGCAGGATGTTTATACCTCAGAAACTCCCTACGCGCACCCATACATGATCGTTCTAATCAATATACTCCTACACCCGTGTTCATTCCTTTTATCCTACCGTCCTCACCCTGCTCTTTACCCCCCTTTTTCTCCTTAGTACTTTGCGTATCTCGGAAAAAAACGACGACGAATGTTTCGAACCGTTCGTGACGTGCCGTCACCGCCACTCGACGAAGAAATATTGGAGCATCTACAACGCGCCGAACTGCCACCACCCGCTTACGGGTACACGATGATTAGGGATACGCAACCCGCGTCAACATCCGCCCGACGACGCCGTCAACCACGCGTGCATAAGCGCACGATTATCGACCTACATTTAGAAGTGCTCAACGAATGTGAAGTGACCGAATGGGAACACGTCAAAGACGACTATTGGCAGATACTTGTGCAAGAGTTTATGGGGGGCAACAACGGACATAGTAGTTGCCCCGATGCTCCTAGCACAAACCAGGGTCCTCCAGGGATCAATGTTTCATTCACCGTGGACCCACCCACTGACTCGGATGCAACGGATCCATGTCCACCGAATGAACACGACCCATGGAGTTGTATGGAAACTATACAGTTCCCAACGGACCCTTGCCCACCTAACAAAGACGACCCCGATCCATGGAGTTGTGTGGACACCATACAGTTAGCAACGCACCCATGTCCACCGAATGAGAACGACCCCGATCCATGGAGTTGTATGAAATCCATACAGTTAGCAACGGACCCTTGCGCACCGCATGACCCCGATCCGTGGAGTTGTATGGAAACTATACAATTACAAACGCACCCTTGTGCACCGAATGAAGACGACCCCGATCCATGGACTTGTATGGAAAACATACAGTTAGCCACGGACACTTCTCCACCGAATGAACACGACCCCGATCCATGGAGTTGTATGGAAACCAGACAGTTAGCAACGCACCCATGTCCACCGAATGAGAACGACCCCGATCCATGGAGTTGTATGGAAAACATACCGTTAGCAACGGACCCTTGTCCAGATGATGACCCCGATCCATGCAGTTCTATGCAAACTACACAGTTAGAAACGGCCCGTTTCCACCACATGACCCCGAGCCATGGAGTTGTATGGAAACCATACAGTTAGATACAGCACCCGACCCGCACTCCTCCCCGGGGAATGAAAACCGGGGACCCGACTGCACTAATTGGATTAACTGGATTGAGCTTCACAAGCACCTACTGCGGGAGTGCACGACGCAGCCGTGGTTGCTGCAATTAAAAGCGGATTGGACACAATACCTGCGCGAGCACATTGCGGCAGACGACGTATCCGGGCACATTCACAACGGTGAAGCGGCAACCCTGCAGATGAGCACACTGCGCTTGTGGAAAGCATGGGTAGCGCAACAACATCGGCAAATGAGTACATACAAGGAAGAGCAGTGGTTTCCACATTTGTTTAATAATGTAGAGGAGGAGATAGAATCGCAAACAGTCGAAGTACCTGGAGTCGAAAAAGACTTAGAAGTGGAACAAGTAAAGGGAACAGAAGATAGAGTGAGAGATTTACCGCGGTCACAACCACTGCATCCGCAACCTTACATGAAAAAACGGTTAACCGCTAAAATATGCATACTGCTCCTGGCATTAGTCATCGAAGCATGCGAGCTCGAATGTCGTTTGCAGCAGACGGAGTTATATGTAGATGATCTATTGGAGCAACTGTGACATTCAGATGACGGGGCATATGCATGCGACATAACGCATGCTAACAGTAGACCACTTTTATTTCATTATGTGATATACATAATATATTTCTTGTTTGCACTATTACATACCTTCTTTTTTTTTTTCTGCTCTGTTCTGCTTGTGCTTACTTTTGCCTTGTTTTTTTCTTTTTCTGTGTACTCCACTTCTTGTAACATGACCATGGGGACAGGGTGGTACAGGTTAAATGCATATAACACGTACATTTAAATGAATAATATGAAGGGGCAGTATTCTCCTTTATGTGCAGTTAATTATTAACACATGAGCAAGTGCATGCTACGGGTATAGTGCAGCACAACCATAGCATGCTCATACGCATTCGAGTATAAGGACAGATTGTCTCTCCGAGTACACGCGGCCGGGTAAACGGGATTGTCCGACTGTAAGAAGCAGGAGGCTTGTCTCTCCTAGCAAACGCGGCCGGGTACACGGCGATTGTCCGAGTGTAAGAACGAGGAGAGATTGTCTCTCCGAGCAAACGCGTCGACCAACGCGGCCGCGTGTAAGAACGATTCGACGAAGTAGCCGAGTAAGCGTTGTGCCGAGGGTACGAACGGAGGAGAGATTGTCTTTCCGAGCAAACGCGTCGACCAACGCGGCCAAGTACAAAACGGATTCGACCAAGTAGCCGAGTGTAAGACAGGAGGGAGACATTGTCTCTCCGAGCAAACGCGACGACCAACGCGGGCGCGTGCACGACGGAGTACCATTGTCTCCAAGCAAGCGCGTCGACCACAGCCGCCGCGTGCACGAAGGAGGAGAGATTGTCTCTCCGCGCAAACGCGGCTCGCGTGTAAGAAGTATTCGACGACGTAGCCGAGTGTAAGAAGCAGGAGGATTGTCTCTCCGAGCAAACGCAGTCGGGAAAGCATTGTCCGAGTGTACGACGGAGGACAGATTGTCTCTCCGAGCACACGCGGCCCGGGTAAACGAACATTGTGTCCGAGCAACCGCGGCCCAGTGCAAGACCGAGTCGACGACGTGGCCGAGTGTAAGAAAGGCCGGAGAGATTGTCTCTCCGAGCAAACATGGCCGAGTAAGCAGCATTCGACGAAGCAACCGAGTGTACGACGGAAGAAGAAATTGATGTTGTTGTCGCTACTGCGGCTTCTTGTAGACCGGTGTAGAAAGGGGGGCGGGGGTATTCATGACGTGTTGTGTGTAGTATTTTTTCTATTTTTTCCTGTCTTTTTTTTTTTTTCATTTTTTTAATTTATGTTTATCTGTCTGTTAGTACTATGTACAATTCATGGTGGAATACTAGAATCAGCGGCTAAGTGTCCAACGGCATATTAACAACCTACTGTGTGCATATGTTCTCAGTCCACATAGGGTGAAGAATGAATATATGTAATATTAACATATGTACGCAGGTATTGCGTTAGTATGACGTCATGGTAATATCAGCAGAAGTGGAAGTATATATGAGCATAGCAATAATATCATGGCTGAAAAATTGGTAGAAGTCTTGGTGCAGTATGTACAACAGAGAAAAATAGGATCTGATACGGCAGAAGGCCAAGGACGGAAGAGTGAATTCAGTGTAAGTGATTATAAAGAGCGAATAGGATAATTCAGTGTATAGTGGTCATTGTATACAAAGAGAAGTATAAAATGTATTTTGGGAGCACGATGAGTATTCATGCATTATAAAGTCATGTTGCTGATTCACCACAGTGAAACAACATATGTCAGGAGAATAGCATTGATTCTGTGTTAGGAACAGTCAGGACAGCCACAGGTAGTCAGTGCGTATATTTGTGGACATGTGTTGTTATATTTACAGGATATGCTCTGGGACGACATAGAAAAACTATTCACGGAGCTGACTGATAAATTGAAAGAGAAGGATATTATGGAGAGTGCGCTGTGCCAGGAAATCTATGGCAAAAAGAAGAAGTTGGCACCAGAGAAGCTGCTATGCCGGTACATCGTGAAAATATTTGTATACATGGATGGGAAGGAAGAAGTAGTCGAGGGATTGACAACACTAAATGCCGGGCACACGCGTTGGAGGGACTATTTCAAATGTGTGGTAGGGAATGTGACATTAATAAAGTTATTTGAGAAGAACTGTGCAGCAACGGAAATTATAAATAAGGTGTCAAGGGAAATGAGTACCATAGGTATGACACTTGCGGGGAAGAGTAACAGCAAACAATGTCAGGGACTTGATTATGAGAGCCTCAACATTGGCACGAAGTTTGTGGCAGGAACGATGGGTGAATGGATAAATAGGTGGAAAATAACATCCGTTGGAGGGGTAAGTGGGTCACGAGCACCGACCTCATGTAGTGCACCAACAAGTATAACGAAGGCGACAGCGACGACAGATAGTGAAGACGCGCATGTAGTGAAACTGTTCGAGGACGGCACTGCAAGAGATGTAGCGGGATTAATACAGAAAAAGGCGACAATAACGGCAGACGAGAGACAAAAAATAATGGAGGCAGCGAAGGATAAAGGACCAGCGAAAAGTGTACTGGACGAAGTAATGCGTGAAATAGAACGCCAAGCGACCGGAAACGGAGGGCACATTCAGGTGCCAGGTAAGCACGGGGGACGAAGCACAGAGCAGTGAGACGGGAACGGATAACGTAGGACGGGATGAAAAAACAACAAGAGGACAATGCAACACCATAGCACCACACCTTCCTGGATTCTAGGTCCCTAAGGATAAGATAACATAGGCGTTCCCTACAACTTTTTGCCATTGTTTACAGATCCTAGAGCTCCCACACCGGCCACCGGCACACCATCAAAGGAATCCACAGGTAAGACAGATGGGAAAAAGCACCAATACGGCACGCACAAATACGGCTCGATACGACCGCATGTGGATACCGCCAAAAATGAAACGATACCACAACGCACATGCGGCGAGAACAGCACCACAGCACAGCGCGGCACCCCCTCGTTGAGCGATGGGCCGAGAATTGCCGAGCCGAGGTGTGTGCGGCCACGACGGTAGCGGCAGCGGCGACGAGGGACAGGACGAGGGATGCAGCGGCAGCGGCAGCGACGACCTGTGTGGCCGAGTAACCGGACGAGACGACAGCAAAAACAGATAAGTGTACTGCTATCACATGCGTCCACCGAGTGCGCCCCCTCCATCTCTCCATTCATCCGGCAAGTGTTACACACCCATATGCTCCTACATTACCATCATTCTTAGGACAACCGGAAGCACAGAAACCAACAGAAACAACACAAGATGCAGGAAAAACTGCAACACCCTCCACACCTGACACAGTGCCAGTTGCAAGATCAGAGGACGTTGTGGAAACACCACCGCCATCACGGCCGCTGCCACCGGCACCACCACCAGCAGAAGGAACAGGCGCAGGGAACGACGTACTAGATACGAAGACGGAGAATACTGTAATCTCCAAGGACACGGCGACAATAAAAGGTCGACCGGACGACCCCACAGGTGAGACCAAGTGCCCGGAGGAAAATTCCCGTAATACAGCCTCCAGCCCCATATCCTATGAGACGTCCAACGTGACTATTACTCCGGTTTCGTACACGTATGAGGGGGCACTTACGTGTGCTAAAATTAGGGAACTGCAGGCACTAGACAAAACACAACGCGATTTACACTCGGGTCCCAAGAACGCCATAGATACTACAGGTACCTGCCACAGGTGTGCATGCGGAGTAGGTGGGGCACCACGGGGTGCACATCGTACGTAGGCACTCTAAACCGGTCATTGCAAAATACAAAACACAAACCAAAATTTTCCGCACAGAGCGGGCGCGACCACACGGAGAGAGAAGCCACGGAGAGAGAAACCAAACGTCGAATAAGAATGCAAGCGGCAGAGCCACGGGTCGGCCGCGGGAGGTAGCGGCCGGTAGAGAGACGTACAGAGGTAGACAGCTAGCTACGTGGACGTCGACGTCGACAGAGATACACACACACACTGTGTGTTGTGTGTTGTGTGTATTGTGTGTTGTGTTGTGTGTATTGTGTGTTGTGTTGTGTGCGGGAGAGAGAGAGAGTCTTTTCCCGGAGTGGCACCCTGCCCCGCCGTCCCCGCTGCCCTGCCCCCCGTGCCATGCCCCGTTCCCATCGCCTGCCTCCTCACCCGACCGGCGGTCAACCGTGAACGATGAGCGACCAACGATAACCATGCATCCACTTCAAACCTTCAGTTTTATCCACATTCTCCTGCTTGTTCCAACTTATAGGTAAAGACTCTACAGCAAATACAGGTACCCAGGACCCCCAGGTACCAGCAGAACCCGCACCGGGACCAGTAACACCATCAGAGGCGTCAGCAGTCACAGAACCACGCGCAACGGGCGGTGCAGGGGAAGTGCACACTACATCACACCCCGGTTTTCCGATTCCCGATAAGACATGTTTCTACGGCATTGCTCATTCAAACTGTACTAAAGTGCATGGTTCCTTCGTCCTTAATGATGATAAGGACAACACAGGTACCGGGCGCGCGTCCCCCGGTACTGCCTCCTCTCCTAGTATTACTAACACTCAAAGTACCCGTTCTAATAAAAAAAGTGGCACTAATGATTTTGTATTAGGATCAGATCCTCCACAAGCAGCAGGTGACTTAGGAGGACATTACGCACCAGGCCCTCCACAGGTGCCCCATACTGTACACCCAAAGAATGTGCCTTCGAATGATGGTGGTCCCGATGTACCCGACCTAACCGGCACGGTCCTGACCGGCACTACTCCCGTGCTGTTGTTCGTCCCTTCCGTCATCGTCGCCCTTCTTGGTTATTCCCTTTGGAAAGTAAGCATGAACTCATACAAGCTCACACACAAGCACGCACAAATATAACCGAGTGGAAAATGGAACAACCGTTGCCATTCGCCATTCCACTGTTCCGTCCCATGTTTCCAAAAGGAACGCTAACCAACTGTACACTATGCGGAAGTTATTCCAACAAGAAAAAACAAGCAATACTAAATTTTAGAACAAAGAAAAAAGAAGGAAAAAAAATCCTACTACAGA